ATACTATAACGGGCATTGCTCTAAAGAGCTAGCGTCTCTTGTGCCACCAACTAAAATTTATTCTTGTCTTACTCGTCATTCAATTAAGTCTCATCCTTTTTCTGTTACTGTTCCTAAGTGCTATAAAAACTCTTATTTGTCTAGTTTTTTCCCTCGAACATCAGTTCTTTGGAATTCGCTTCCTTTATCTTGCTTTCCTGATTCATATAATTTACAATCATTTAAGTCGTCTGTCAATCGTTATCTTGCTCTACAATCTTCATCTTTTCTTTACCAGTAACTTTCAACACTAATTAGTGGTTGGTTGCAACCTTGTTGGAAGTGAAGATGTTTAAAAAAAAAAAATGTATATAAATTTTTGACAAAGCTTCATTTAATCAAATTCTTACCTTGATAATTGGAACTTGAACAGCAATTTTCATAGAGTTTCCAAAACTTTTTTACTAAGGACTCAGCAAACTTATCTGCTTGTTTACCTCCTGAAACTAAAAGCAAATTTTTAAAAAAATATTCAAAAACTTTTAAAAAGTAATTCTTAAACTTTACATTTATATATAATATAATATTAAACTTTATTACATATTATAATATTGTATTATATTGATATATATTGGATATATCTGATGTCTTCTTTTAATTCTTTTTATTAAATAGTAAAAATATTTTGTGAAAACATTGGTATTGATGAAGGTAATATAATATACATAAACAATTATTAATAATTATTATCAATAATTTATGTATATTATAACATAGTAGACCAAAAAGGAAGGGATGGGTAGAAAAACAAAAAACACTTAGGAAGGTTTTGATGAGTTTTTTCTCTGCTTCTGTTAAAGTTTATATAACATAAAGTTTTAATTCACTTTGATGTTTTTAGTGCATTTCATAAAATAATGTAGAGCTTTGTTTAACTTCTTTACTGTTCATTATACAGACAGAATATATCTGCAATTTATTGTGTTTATATTATATTTTTGTTATTATCTGCTTAATTATTGTATTAAATTGAAAGTTGATTTATTTTAATGTATATTAGATAATAATAGTTTCTTGATTTATTTATTTGCTTTATCCTGCAAGGCTGTAAACAATCACTAGTTTTGGGAGTTAACAGAAAAGGAGAAAAAAATTGTTAGGGAACAAGATAATACTTGAAAGTAGATTTAAATAACTGTAAAATATATGTCAGAAAAGTTTAGAGGTAATTCCAAAAACATTGATATTCAAGGAAAAACCTTAGATGAATTAAAAATTAAAATTAAAAACTAGGATTTATTTTATCACTTAAGCGTCAATAATGTCAATGTTTGTAGAAAAAAGAAAGAAATGCACCTTTATGAAGATAGAACAGAGGCTCAAGCTTCGCAGCTAGAGCAGGCCCCTTATATATAGGTCCCTTATATCTTTTGTACCTTGTCCAAAAGAAAAAAGATATCATTAAAGAACCAGCCTAAATATAACAAGAGTATTCCGTACAATAATAAATAACAGATTTATAAGGAATAGAATCATAAAAAAGTACAATAAAAAGAGCAGGCGTTTACTTATAATAAATTGGTTGATATATGGTTTTCATTTTGTTCACAAATTGGTTGATATATGGTTTTCATGAGAGGTCGTAAAAGATAATTTGAGAAGATGTAAAGTAGAAGACTAAGTAAAAGTGTTGCCATAGAAACAATATTATGATAACTATTAGCAGTATTATGAAACAATATTATGATAACTATTAGCAGTAAAGAGCTTTGTTTCAATATGATTTTAATATTAACTCATTATTCAATGCAAGCCTTAAGTTTTTACAATAGAAAGATCTCATTGGTTGGCTACCTGTTTTAACTAATCAAAAAACAATGACTTTTAGTTAGACTCAAGATGAAAAATTTAATTAAAAGTTAATTAAAGACTGAAGACCTAATAAATAGTATGAAGACTGATAGGGAAATTATTCAGAAAGATTTCTAGAGTTTTTAAAAACTGAAGCCACAATATTTTCAAAACTATTTAAGAAATTTTTTTTATTTGTTTAGTTATGCTTAACTAAATAAATAAAAAAAATTTCTTAAATAGTTTTGAAAATATTGAAGACAATTCTGGAAAATTTGTAAGCATGTGAAAAAAAAATCGAAGGACATATTTGCTTCGAAAAATAGTTCTGCTTTATTCTTAAGAGAGGTAATATGATTAGACTCATGTATGCATGTATGTATGCAAAATGCAATGTTAGATTTGCTTTTGATGCTTTTGTTAATGAGAGTTTTAAAGACTTTCCAAAAGTATCTAGAACTTAACTTCTGACATAAAATTCATAAAATAATGGGTGTATTGGAAAAAAAATTTTTTAATGAGGTGTACTGCTTTCTGATTATCTTAGGCTTGTTTTGTTTTACTCGTATGTGACCATTCGGCAAATTTTATATGCCAAAATTTTTAAAATAATAATGGCTAGCTTTGAACAATATTTTTGTGTGTCATTTTCAAACAATTACAAAAAACATTTGCTCTCAAGATGGTTGTAGCTTTCAAGATGACTGTAGGAACCATTAGAAATAGGAGAAAATGTGGGTGGGTATGAATGCCAATGGCTCTTTTGTAACAATTCTGTTATTGCACTTCTGTCGCAACAAGATCTGCATAGTCTCAAGATTTAAAGGTTAAAAATTAAATTTAAAATCTCAAATTAAAAAAAACTCATTTGTTTTATAACAGGTCTCTGAATTTTACAGTGAAAAAATCTGTGAACCAGTTTAACATACTTAAAACCTTTCTTTCGTGTTTATGTAACAAACACAATAATCTACAAAATTTGTTTGGTAAAATAAAAGAAAGATTCCCTATTATATTTATTATTTTTCAAATTTTAAAAAATCAGCTGTTATTAATGAACTTGTAAACTAATGTTTATTAATTTGTATAATAGCTTTATCTGAAAAAGATTTGAACCCGCATCCAGTACTGAAGTAAAAGTCATTCTCATATATATAACATTACATCATTTCAAGCATTACACTGTAACAGGTTAGAAACAAGACATAAATAAAGGAGTAAAATAAGTAGTTAAAGTTGATTGGAAAACAAGTCACAAAGTTAACTCTGGTAAAATATTAGGTCTTTAAAATTTTAGTTCATGCAAAGCTGAGTACTTTGTTTATAAGGAGCAAATTATTAAAAGTTTGCTAGCAAGAAAGTTACAAAAAACAAAACAAAAACAATAAACTTACGACTACAAAAGTAATAACACTTTAGTCACTAGCTGCATTACAAAAGTAAAAAAACTATAATAGTGTTACTACATTTATAAATCACTTATTACTTTTAAAGTTCATTCTTTGTTCAAACAACATTATTAATTCCAAACATTTATTAAAGTAGAAAAGCATCTAGAAAAAATAAAGCAGATATTCAAATATTATTAAAAATTTCAGGAACTTTCACATATTACTTAAACAACATTATAAAAAAAGTACTTTATAAAAAGTATAGCATTATGAAAAACGTTACATAAAATGCATGTTAATTTTAAAATCAACCAATAAAAAATTTTTATTGGTTAATTTTAAAATTAACGCACATTTTAAAAGTCCATTAGTAATGTTTTTCATAAAGCTAAACTTTTAATATGATACATTTTTATAAAGTTGTTTGTCGCGTTTTTATAAGTTATTTAAGTTTTAATATTATTCGAATATCCACTTTATTCTTCTAGATATTTTTCTACTTCAATTAAAATTTGGGAATACTAGTGTTGCTTGAACAAAGAATGAATTTTAAAAGTTATAAGTGCGTTATAAAAGTAATAACAGTATTATAGTGTTATTACTTTTGTAATGCAGTTAGTGACTAGAGTGTTATTACTTTTGTAATTGTAGGTTTATTTTTTATTTTTTCGCTAACAAATTTAAGTTGATTCTCCCCTTAAAAACAAGGAACACGGTTTTGTATAAACTAAAATTTTGAATACTAGACATTTTTCCAGATTTTGCGTTTCGCATTCGCTTAATTCAACCCTTGTTGTTACATTAAAATTATACAAATAAATTTTACTAACACATTGAAATTTGTATTTTTGCTATCCACTTAAAAAAAAAAATTAAGAAAAGGAAAATCATTCTTTTTATTGTAGACTTCAAACTGTTTTTTTTGCTTTCACCTTATCTAATTTTGTTGCTGAATGTAACAACCACTCTAAAGAAATATAAATAAAAACATTACACAAATTATTTAAATTATTAATTTGTTTTTATTTTTTTCTATTTTAATCTCTTTATTTTTGTAGTTTTATTTTTTTTGTTTTTGAAACTTTTTCAGCATTATTATAAAACTTGCAAACGGCCGTGTTCAAGTTGTCTAAAATAATATACTTGCACACAAGACGAAAAACCACATGCCTTTCCCGGGAAGGCTTGAATTATGTAAGAAAATTCTTACATAAATATTTACCACAGTCAAATTCGGAAAAAAAAATTACACTCATTACCTAACTTAAATAATTGTTACTCTTACAGAATGATTATGATAACACTTTATATGTTTTCCCCCTTGTTTATATGTTTCTCTATGTTCAAACTTCATTTAATTATATTAAAATAATAATAATAATAAAAAGCATTAGAAAGTATAACTTAGAACTTACTTTCAACAAATTTAACCAAGTTGTCTGCTTGAGTCTCTCCAACAAATGAACCAATGTTAAGAATCATTTCAAATACATCTAAGTCCAAATTATCTTGAGTGGTTTCAAACAACTTCATCATATGACTAACTAAAACTTCATCCTAATAATATTTCATTAGTATATAAATATTGAATCATGATCATGACCATGATGATGATCATCATGATCATTATCACTATTAACTTTTAAAGCAGAAAACAAAACAACTCTGATAATAATCATGATGATGATAATGATCATCATCATTATCATGATCAGGATCATCATCATCATTACCAACATCAACTTTTACAGCAGAAAACAAAACAACCATGATAAAAGTTAGAAAATTTGGTGGGTCAAATCAAATTAATGATTTGATATATAACCTAATAAAAGTAAAAAAACTAATGATGTTAAAAAAATTGAATACAAAATCAAAACAACTAACCTTTTTGTTTTGATATTTACCATCACCCGGATATAAATTTTTAAGAAGCATATGAGTTTGGTAACCTATAGCAGAGACTTCTTTGAGCTGAGGATCAACTGTAAGAAGTTGAGTTGAAATATTTAATAGTGTGTCAAACACTGTCGAAATTTTACTTCCATCTACTATTTTCAGTAATTTGTTTATAGCCGAAAGCAAAGAAAATAGTAACCTACAATATAAATATAGTATTCTACAAATAACTTAAATTAATATAACTGTGGCAATGCAACAGGTAGTAGAATATGCAACAAATACCACACACACACCCACACCCACACCCACCCACACACACACACACACACACAGATATATATATATATATATATATATATATATATATATATATATATATATATATATATATATATATATATATATATATATATATATATATATATATATATATATATATATATATATATATATATATATATATATATATATATAAATAAAAGAATGTGGCAACTTTCAATTTAATACACAAAGAATTTTAACTTTTTTTTCAATTATCCTTAATGTATATAAAATTTGATTGATTGAATATGGTTTTCAAGTGTTGATTCATTGGATGCAAAGATAACTATGATGTTACAAAACCAGATAAATCTTTTATCTTTCATAAAAAATAGTTGGATTAATAAAGAAAGATAGGTGCAATTATTACTTCCAATTATTTTTATAAAGAAAAATTTAATTTTATTTCTACTTTTATTAGTTAAGATCATTGGCATAAAGACAAGGAAAAAGTTTGTCTGTAGAAAGTTAAAAATAGGGAACAAAAAATTGTCCGTTTGCGGTGATCGGACTTCTGTAGTAATGGTCTGAAAACTGAAAACCGCTAACCGACAATCACCGGCAATCACCGCACACCTCTAACTGCTGTCACCGCCAATGCATCACAGCGCATTGCAATCATCGACAGCTGCGGTTAGCTGATAACCGACCATCACCGCAGAAGTCCGATCACCGCAAATGGTTGATTTTTTGTTCCCTAGTTAAAAACCAAAACATCTAACGCCTCTATTTTTCTGCGTGAATCAAAGTCAAATTCTGACAACACAGACACCATTAAGACCAACAAATAAATAATTGCTATTTTTAGAATGTATTGCACCTAATGAAGTAAGCAATTTTTGAATGTTAATTTCATTCTTTTAAAAATCTGTATCATTTTCTTTTATAATAATATTAAACATCTACAAAAGTATTAACTCCTTAGTTCTGATTGGAGAAAATAAAAATATTCTCCTGATATGGTTTATATAGTATTTTTGATAACTTTTTATTGTCAAGAACAATTTACTGATAAATGTGGTAATTAAGAACTACCAAGTACATCACTGAAGACAAAGTTGACATTGAAAGTTAAAAATGTTGGAGATGATTTTCATGAGTTGTATTTGATAAATATTTTATTTTATCAAAGAAAGCTCATTCTACTAATTAATAAAATTTATGTTAAACCACAGTTAGCATATCAAGGAGATTTGTTTTTAGTAAACCTGTTAACTCCCTGAATTAATTTAAAAAAAAAAAGTTTTAGGTTTGATGATTTGTTTTTTGATTGGTTGAAATAAATTTTTGAACAAAGCATTAGAATTATCAGGTATAGATACCTATTTTCCATTTTTTTTTTTTAAAACATCTTCACTTCCAATAAGACTGCTATTAAAGTTAGAAGTTACTGGAAGAGAGAAGATGAAATTTATAGAGCAAGATAATGATTAACAGACGACTTAAAAGATGGCAAATTAAAAGAAGCAGAAAAACAAGCTAAAGGAAGCAAATTCCAAAGAACTGATGTTTGAAGAAAAAAACTAGAAGAACAAGAATTTTTGGAGCACATAGGTCACAGCAAAAAGATGAGACTTAACAATAACATGTAAGGCAAGTAACATGAATACATTGAATAACAAGTAACATGAGAATGAATTTTAGTAGATGGCACAATAGACGCTTTAGAGTAATGCCTATTATAGTATTTATAAAAAAAATTTTTTGCACCTTGTCTCTTAGAAGATAAAGGGTAGATAACTCATCAAGTATATTACTGTTCATAAATATAGAAAGATATAGATCATTGTGATAACAATTAGGTGAAAAAAACTGAGTTTTATCTGAGTTAAACTAAAACCAGCCACTAAGAGCCCCATGCTAGAGCAGAAATGAGCTCCTTTTCAAGCTCAAATGCCCCCTCCAAGCAATCAGAGAGTGTTGGCTTCTTATCAAGACAAGAATAAATGGTAATATCATCAGCAAACAATATCACTTTAGTTGTGAGAATTTCTGGAAAACCATTAATGTAAATTAAAGAGTATAGAGCCAAGGATAAAACTTGAGGACAACTTTTATACTACGATTGGTAAGGAAGGATTTAATAATCTTAAAAATGTTACCTGATAAAGCATAAGAAGAGAGGTTATGGAGAAGACCAGCATGCCAAACATTATTAAAAGCTTTAGAACGGTCGAGAGTGATAGCCTTACTCTCTCCAAATCTATCTAATGCACAATAAAACCTATCAGTAATTACCATTAACAAACCAGTAGTAGAATGAGAAGATCAAAATCTATATTGATGATCACAAAGTAAGTTATTAGATTCAAGATAAGAGATTAAGTGTTTGTGAATTAAAGACTCTAAAACCTTGCTTATGATATTAAGAAGACTAATGGGGTGGTACTTAGGTGAGTCAGATTGCTCTCCAGAATCTTTGAAAATAGGGATAACAAATACTGCTTTCCAGCAGGCACTTGTTAAATAGTTTTTAAATTATAGAAGACAGCTCTGGAGAATACTTCTGCAAGAATACATGTGTATTTGAATATATGTATATAAGAATATATGCTCGGACCAAAAGTTGCAGAAGAGTCTAAGCAAGAAATCACTTTAGATACAGAAGCTGGAGTAATATGAATGTCAAGCAATTGATCAACCTGTTTGTCGGCTATATCAGGTAGAACATGACTAGTGGATTCAATTAAGAATTCAGCTTTATCTTTAGGTGAGTTGAAAAAATCTGAATCATACTAGAGAGGTAGAATAACAGATTTACCCTTGTTATAGATATTATTAAAAAAATTCTCTTAAAGTCACAAGAGCCTAATTTTTGAGATGAATTACGAGATTTCATGACCTGAGAATAGAGGGCTTTGGCGTTAGAGAAAACCTTTTTACCATGGTTTCTAGTAGTAGTAAACAGACATTTGTTTTCTGGAGAATTATTTTGCTGATAGATATGAAAGTAATGATCACCATTAGAAATCACAGCAGCACAAGTGAAGTTATAACAGCAGCACACCTGAATTGTGAGAAGAGTGAGAATGACTTGTAATCATCAAGAGGGAATTAAAAATTATATGCCAGCCTCAATCTAAAAAGTAATGTAAGAAGCACATTTGTCAGCAGGAAGACGAAAGATTTCTACCTAAGGCCCATCACAAAGAAAATCAAGGAAAGAGTCTCAGTTAGCTTTAAGGTAGTTTTAAGAGATATGATGATAGGGGAATTCTGATGATAAAAAAGAATGAGATAATAGCTTTAGTGAGATAAAACCATGATCACTTTTTTTCTAAACCAACTAAAAGTCAAAATGTATCTACTTGTTTAAAAGTATCTTGTGATGAAACTGTTGCTGCTTTGAAAACGCATCTCGTAATTCAAAATGCTGATTATACAGCTTGTTTGTTTGTTTTTTATCAAATATTTAAAAAAATGTTAATGATGTTAGAGATGCTTACTCATGCTCTAATTTGTGTATATTTGAGAATATTGCAATACGATATTCTATACCTACATTTTATTTTACCATTTTTACACTTGTGTTTGTCGTGTTACCTTATAAAACTGGATGATATCAGTCATTTATGGTTTTATTAATGTTTTAAAAAAATGCAGAATCTTTGTAAACAAATTATTGTTATCTTTATTACCCTTCTTCAAAAAACCCAAATTGAAAATATAAAAGCTATCCTAAATGTGATATATATCAGGGCAGCCCAACGGCACCAGGTAATCAGAGAAATTCATAAGTAATAGGACATTTTCAATGAAAATTCTTAATATTTTCTAGAAAAAAAATAACAAATTTTCCTATTATCACAAAAACACAGTAAAAAATATATTCCTGGTCAACACCCTGTATATATATTATATATTTTCCAGCAGGCAGGAAAACTCAGTTAAACACTTATTAAATAGTTTAGAGAGTATTGAAGAAAGTCCTGGTGACTACTTGAGGTATACAAGAGAGTTAACATTAAAAAAAATGCAACTTAGTTTGTGGTCACTACATAACTACTATAATGCCATCAAAATGGGTGCAGTTATACTAGTTTTCACTGATTATACTAGTTTTTACTATTTAAAACAAGTTCTGAATCTTGTGTATAATTTAGAGCAAGCTCTTGTTTTAACTTAATAAATTTGCTGAAACTTTGTAAAAAAGTAATTTAAAGCAATATCTGGGGTATCGGGCTGGATATAGTTTATATACAACCAGATACCAGTTAGTAAAATATCTTTTATTTTAAGCTGGATACCTCATATACACTTCTAGTTATAAGGTCACTGTATTAAGGCCCTATGTAAGGTACTATATAAGGTAACTTTACTACATATTAGGATGTTTTATGTTTTTAATTGTTTACCTGAACTTACACAAGTTGTTTTAAAAATTTTAATTTTTATTAGGTAAGAAATGCAAAAATCTCATTAAGTTTAAATCTATAAGTTAAAAAGCATTTAGCACCTTCTATCACCCCCAACCACCCACCCCACCCCACCACCCACACACACTCTCTATTCTTCTACTTTAAAAACAAGCTTACATTTCAGATTGAGAGCTCTGATATTTTGATATTTGTGGCTCCTGTAAACTTGGAGAAGATTCTGCAACAGCTGTTTCAGTACTTTCCTCAACAGCACTAAACTCTTCTTTTGTCTTAGTATAAACCTTAATAGAATCAACAATGCTAACACCATAAGGATCAGTAGATGGGCCAACTAAATAAAACAATTATAAAATTATACAATTTTGTAACATATTGTAAGTTTGAAAGTTTAACAAGAATTTTAAAATAAAAAAATAATAGAAACTAAATTTAAAGTGTAAATGAGAACATGTCCCCCATTATTTTTCTCTAAAATTCTTATGCAACCAAAAAATATTACATGTTACAGTAAACATGTTTTTCTCCAAGCAAATATTTGATTCCTCTCTTGTAAATGGTATATCAAACCAGCGATTTTTTACTGATCTGAGATATATTATACGACCAAAGACATCTATATACTGAGGGGAACGTTCCATTGATTGAACTCCTACTTGCAAGCGAATACCAACAATTACATTTGATGGGTTTGTATTAAGAATTTCAATTTTAAATCCAAATGGCTGAAAAAAATAACACAATAATTTTATACACAACTTGTTCTATAAATATAAAATACTTTTTTATAATTTTTTTAAATATGTAAAAAAAATTTTTATAATCTAATTTCTCTCTCTCTCTCAATATATATATATATATATATATATATATATATATATATATATATATATATATATATATATATATATATATATATATATATATATATATATATATATATATATATATATATATATATATATATATATATATATATATATATGAAAAAATTTTAACCTTTGTGTTTGCTATATACATTCCAGTTGTGTTTAGTCGATTTTTTACTTGATTTTTGTTATAAATATGTAATATATGTTCACCACCAAACTCTACATCATTGGTTAAATGACATGTTTCAAAAAAATCTACAGGAAATTTTTCAGGCGATTTTTTATTGTCCTGCTTTTTTTCCTTGTTGACAAGACGTTCTGTAAAATGTGTACTGAAATAAAATTAAATACAAAAATGAGTTGATTAATTTTATAACTTAGTTGATAATAATAAGTTGATAATTTTATAACTTTTAATCCCCCGTAAAAATAAAGGAAAAAAACATACTTCATAAACAAATTTTCAGGAGGCTTTGAAAACTGAATAATATCTTGGTTGGCATTGTAAATACGAAGACTTCCATCATCTAGCAAAACTATTAACGTAGTACACTCAGTAACAGACTGTGCATGCCCTTCAATTGTTGAATGATGATGACATACTGCATTTAAAACCTTAACTGACTTTGCTACACTTTTAATTTCTTGAATCTTTTTTTAAAATCAAAACAAATACAAAAATTATATTTTAATTTTTTTATTTTAAATACTAAATAATAATTTTTTACATTTTTCAAGTAATTTTAAATAATAAAAGTTTTTAATACATATATACTACTTACAATAACTTTTTCTGGCTTGACAGCTAACATAACAATATTCCCAGAATTTTGCAGGGTACAATGAAGTAGACCAACTTGACCAGGAACTTCACTCCACTGGACTAATGGGGATGACAAAGTTATTGGGTTGTCAATAAGAAAAAGCTTAGTAAAGGATAGTAAACTCTGATCCAAGCAACCAAAAAAAGACAATCCTAGAATGAAAATAATTATATTTTATTATTATTATTTTTAAAAAGTATAAGTATGTGTGTATATATATATAATATACTATATGTGATTATATGAATGTGTGTGCATGTATATATATATATATATATATATATATATATATACACATATATGTGTCTATGTATGTATGTATGTATGTATGTATGTATGTATGTATGTATGTATGTATGTATGTATGTATGTATGTATGTATGTATGTATGTATGTATACATATATATATATATATATATATATATATATATATATATATATATATATATATATATATATATATATATATATATATATATATATATATACACTTACTAAAGCGTATTTTTATAAGCATTTGCTCACTTTTTTTGCTTACCTTAACCCATACGGTTTTTTTAGAAAAAGAAGAAAAAAAACAAAGAATGATGAATGAAATGATTGCTGCCCCATCCCAAACCCTCAGTCGATGTAGCAGCACTCCACTGCGAGTCAGGCTATTTGTCAGTTGTTGTATGTACTGAAACCCCCAGCAGCAGGCTATTTCAGTATGACATCAGATTGCTTACCTTAGTACGCAATACTATTTGTATGTATGTATGTATGTATATATATATATATATATATATATATATATATATATATATATATATATATATACATACATACATATTTTTTTATATTTTATTATTTTCTTTTATATTATTATTACCTTTATTGTAGCTGAAAAAAAGCAGTTTCAAGGTCTGTGAATAATAAACAGAGACACCACCACCATTAACTAAAGACTGATCAGATTCTTCTTTGTTAGGATGCTGAACATTAACAACATTCATTGTGTAAAACAAACATTGTTTGCTTGCATCATTTAAAGCCTCTACATATATATATCCTTGAGAAGACATTATAACAATATTATTCTGCTTGTCATCTGGAACAAAAGTGGCATCTCTAATTTTTCCACTAGGGACAACAAAATAGTAAATTGGATCAGTTTCACTCACAGATAAATCAAATATCTAAATGGAAAATGATTTTTAAAAATTTCTTTAATTTATGGCTACTAATAAAAAATGTTGCAACGCTAATTTTGTATTTTTTATAACGGTTTTTATTTTTTACATGAATAATATGGCTGATGATTGCCGAATGGCATGAAACTATTAGTTCCATCATAAAATTGTATTTTTTTCATTTAAATTATTTTATTATAATTTGATCTATTTTTTAAAAAAAGATATTGATCACTCTTAAACAGACAAGAGTTGTATTTCTAGCAGTATACAACATTTATCAATAAATATATATATATATATATATATATATATATATATATATATATATATATATATATATATATATATATATACACGCATATAAATACACAAACTATGTGAGTTCTTACATTTAGATACCTCATTATGTCAACTTAATAATTAATAATTAAAGAAAAACTAACAAGTATGTACAAATATTAAGGAAACCTTGATAAAGTCAGCAGTTAATAAAGCCAGTTGAGTTTGTGAACCTGGTACCCATAACGCTTTGATTATAAAATTACCAGTATCAAGTTTTATATTTAATGTTAATCGTGTTGGTGTCGAGGCAGAGTTTCCAAGAATAAGCACAAGACAATCTTTCAATCCTGTCACAGCAAGAAATTCATCATTAAGTGGATTGCTAACCATATGAAGAACAGTAAACGGTACAACTGTTGATGACAAACGATTCAAAGTCATTTTCTTTTGATTTGATTCAGGTAGTCTCAATAATCCAGATAATTGCAGAATTGTCACCTAAACATTTTTTTATAAAAATTCAGTTTTAATGATTATTAGATGATTATTTATATTGTTCATGCATACAACTATTCATGTAAATTATGTAATTTATGCTTATAACTCATGTATACTGTTCATGCATACAACTACTTATGTAAATTATGTAATTTATGCTTATAACTCATGTATACTGTTCATGCATACAACTATTTATGTAAATTATGCAATTTATGTAGTGTTAAGTTAAACTTTATTTCATAGATACATAAGATATAAAATGATGAAAAAAGAAAGATAATGGTAATACCTTCAATGTCAACTATGACATTTCCTTGATGTTTCCATAATATTTTAGGTGACCTCATAATAAAGTGACTAGTTTGTAGAATAAGTCCAGAAATTTAAACAATATTTAAATTAAAAAATAAAAATTTAAAAAGAACTCAAATTAGCCAGTTTTTTTTCCAAAAGTAAGCAAGCAACAAGAAAACAATTAAACAAGCAGTTAAATTGCTATGTTTGACACACAAGCCTAACAAATGAGGCAATAAAGGCAAAGAAACAAGTTGAGCAGGGTACAAGCAGGAAGTAATCGAACTTGAAACTTGCTTAAAAAGCATTTGTAAATCATTTTCACAAATGATTTACAAACTATTATGTAAAAATTGTAAGGACTCACAGATTAATATAAATACAATATGTTAGCTATAAACCTGATTACTATCGTTGAAGTTCTAAAAATTATTTATTTTTTTACTTTTCTAGATGACAAACAGTATAAAATCTAACAGCAGAAAAATTTAAAAAAAGATTTTCAAGAAAAAAAAATAAGCTTCTTTTAAAGTGCTATGTTTGTAATTATATAAATTTTTGAACTAATTTAATAAAATAAAAAAGGTTTCACCTTTCCCTTCTCATGAGAAACAGCAAAAAAACATGAAAAAAAAATTACCTTTCCCTTCTCGTGAGCAACAGCAAGAAACTGTCTTTTTCCAAATGGAGAAACAATAAGACACATTGCTTTATGATGAATCATGTGAGCATTGATAAGCTGACGAAGAGTTGCCCCTTGTTCTCCACCATATGTCAGCTTAATATTTTCAAAAGCTCCCTCTTGTGAGCCAGAAACTGCATTCTAAAAGAATTAGTTTATTTATTCAAATTTCAATCAAATTCACAGTTTAAAATGTTGGTAGTTCAACAAATTTGATAAACTTAGCTAAATTAATTAACAGTTTTCAAATGTGTCCTAGTCATTATAAATAAAAATTAGAACAATAATAAAAAGTACAACATGTTATAATATTACAGAATTATCTGCAATTGCTCACTACGAAACTATGCAAGCTGCAAACTAAATTAAAAAAGCAAAAAACTATGTGAAAAAGCAGCCAAAAAAGTTATCCAAGAAAAAAATAACTTGAGGCAGCAATTCTCAAAGAACAATAGTTTAAAAAAAGAAAAGAAAAAAAATTCTTAAAATTAATTAAAGACGTTCTAAGAAATATAAAGAAACAACAAAAATGTCTACTAGTCAAAGCATTAAGTGTGTTCCTGCTGTGAGCTGTAATCTTTACAATACCAATTGTCTTTGTTATTTATGCAGAGGCCTTTGAGATGAAGCTTAAAGCAGCAAATAAGTTGTATATGAAAAGTGCTTGGCCATGTATTCAATTATCACAAAACATCTGAACTCGTGTGCAAGGACTCAATCAATGACTTTTATCAATTTTAGTATTTATTTTTTTATTGTTTTAAATTAACATGTGCTACAACTTTTTTGTTTTAATTTTCTAAAATTATTAAAATCAAATTATGACAACATTTTTCTAAAGATTTAATTTTAACATTATGACAAATTATTATTTACATTATGGTAAATTTGGGCAAGTGTTTTGTTTTGTAATACTTCTAAAGGTAAATTTACAGATATCTTTTAAAGGGTTTTAAATAATAAATATTTTAAAAACATCATTATTACAAAATTTGACAGTGACATAAAATATACTCATTATTACAAATATAAGAAAATTAGATAAAGTTGAAAAAAGAATGTATAATTTCTATTATGCTAACCTTATTAATCAAAATATTTTGCAACAGAAAAATTAATCGTTAATACAAAACATAAAAAAATATCAACTAAAAATATTTATTATCTAGCAAACACAATTATTTATTCAGTTATTGGTAAAACAGCAACAACCTGTAAACGGTAATAACTTAGTAATTTCTTAATTGCTCTAAATTTTTTCTGCTTAGTTCCAAAAAAATTATTTCATTAGGCATTACTAAATTTTTACAAATGCTTAGAAGTAAAATACATGCAATTTTTTGCTGAACTCTTTTGCTTTGTTATCATGATAAAATCTTTGTACTTAAAACTTTATGCCAAGCAAAAATAGTTTAAGACCTTACTTTTGCTATGTCTATGTCTATATATATATACATATATCTATATATATATATATATATATATATATATATATATATATATATATATATATATATATATATATATATATATATATATATATATATATATATATATATATATATATATATATATATATATATATATATATATATATATATATATATATATATATATATATATATATATATATATATATATATATATATACATATATATATATATATACACACTTACTTTTAGAAAAAGAAAAGAAAAGAAGAAAGATAAATGAAACGATTGCTCCCCCATTCCAAACCCCTAGTCGATGTAGCAGCACTCCATTGCAAGTCAGGCTATTTGTCAGTCAATGTATGTACTGAAGCCCCCAGCAGCAGGCTATTTCAGTATGAAGTCAGATTGCTTACCTTAGTACACAATACTATTTGTGCATATATATATAATATATATATATATATATATATATATATATATATATATATATATATATATAAGTTTTCTTCTTACGGTGTATTAGGTAATATCTTTAGGATTATTGAATCATAGTATAAAAATTGTTCTCGATGGACAGCACTTTTCTTCATATCCTGTAATTTCAAGGATTCCTTAAGGGGCTATTCTTGGTCCTATACTCTTTTTAATTTACATTAACGTTAATTATATTAATAAAAAATTACATCTTCCAGATTTTCTCACATCACACAAGGCGGCATTGTTCGCCGATGATACTACCATTTAATCTTGTCTTGATAAGAAGCCAAAAATCTCTGATTGCTTAGGGGGCATTTGAGCTTGAAAATCTCAACTCTGCTACAGCATAGGGCTCTCAGTGGCTGATGAACTTTAATTCAAATAAAACTCAATTTTTTCAGCTAATCGTTTTCACAATAATCTAGATCTTCCTATAGTTATGAACAGTAATGTACTAGAGTCACCTACCCTTCATCTTCTAGGATCATATCTTACCTCTGATTTTTCTTGGAATGTACATAAAAACTTTTCACAAACAAATTTAAAAATTTTTTTTGAAGTATATACAGCTTTTTAAAAATTAATCACTTTTACAACTCATCATCACTGTAGCGATGACATCATCACATAGTATTGGCATCATCACTATAGTAATGACATCATCACTGTAGTAATGACATTACCACCATGACAATTAATAATGTTAAATTATAAAAATAAAGTAAAACTAAATAATAAATTAATAAACTAAATGATAAAGATAATAAATTAGAAAAATATTACCATAATATTGTCAATGGAAAATTCCTTTTCACTGGTATAAAGAATTTCCAATTTTTCTTTTAGTTTATGTTTTTGCGACCTCATTTCACAAACTGCCTCTTCAACCTCTTTTGTGAACACTTTACAATTTTCCAATAAAAGCTGTATGAATGAATCGAGCAAGGAACTGTTGTTTACCACACTGAGGATATCAAGTTTTGAATCCTTTATAAAAATACCACATGTATATAAATACAGATCAAAAAAAGCAATATAGAAACTATGTCTTATTAATTTATAAAAATAAAATACCTTAATTATATTATTATAAAACTGTACGACATGCATATAATATATATATATGCATATATTATAATATATGCATATATTATAATCAACCCTTGAAATTAGGAAAATTGAGGTCAACAATAATTTGCCGACCTCAATCTTTTAGAGGTCGACATCAGGTAGGCAAATGCAAAGGTCTTAAAACATCATAACCATAAAACATCAAAACGAGGTTGGCAAAGCCGAATATTTTTTGCCGACCGCAAACACGTTTAGGTCGGCAGTTAGGTCGGCATTGCCGACCCTAATTCCAAGGGTTGATTATAATATATGCATTTATCATAATAAATGCATATACTATAATATATGCATATTAAAGAAAATATCAACAATTTAGTTCAAATAGTTTTTATAATTTTATTTTCATTAACAAAAAAAAAACCTGCAAAATTTTTTGAAGATTGTTTTCACTTTTTATACTTTTCTGATTTTGAGCTTTTGAAAATTTCTTATCAACCAGTTTAGAAGGCCCCCATGTACTTGGATGTGATGTTACCCGGTTCAAAAACTTAGATGATCCAGACATTGCCTACAAATATTTATAATAGCAATTAAAAAAACAAAACAAAAAAAAACTAAAACAATCAAAAACAAATGTAAAAAAAGATTTAAGTTAACAAAAAAAAACTTGAATTAAGTAAATAAAAGAAAACCTTGCAACTCCCATCCTCTTTAGCTCCGCAATCACAAAAAAAAGAACCATGTTTAGCATAAGTGACATCATGATCTTTATGACAGATTTTAGCACATACAGTGCAACAACCAATTCCATCATTCATCTTGCATGTATGACAGTGATACCAATGCTGGTTCATAAAATCACGCTGTGTTACAGAAAAAGTACAAGTGTTTCCTTCAATAGACTCGTAAACCTAAAATTTAATCAATATTAAAAAGTAATAATAAAATCCTAAAGGTACAATTTAATCAATATTAAAAAGTATTATTTTTATTATATTGTTTCTATTCTAAATTTAAACAAAATTTGTTTTTTATTATAAATTTTTTTATAAATTTTATAAAAATTGCTAAATCAATTTATTAAATAAACTCAAAATGGAGCATAATTCATTATTAGAGCATATAAAGACACATAGCCATAGAAAAGGAAACTTACCTATCGGAAGGAAATCAGTTTTTAAAACCATTAATTTTGAAAGCAAAATTGATTATTAGAGAATAAGACTGTTTTGAAAAAAATATTTTTGAAAGTTTTAAATAAAGACAACTTACAGACGCTTCTTCATTGCATTCTTCAGATCTTTTATTTAAATCAGGCGTAAACTCATATAAAGTATCATCCGAAACATCATCAATACAAGAACTTGTAATGATATCCGTAATATATAAAACAATTTTTAATATGCACTCTGATGCCTGCTTGTTATTTTTATCTGTAATTAAACTGTAAAGCAAAAAAGATAAAAAATTTTTAACTTATGTAGAATTTGTTATAACTCTTGTTCAAAAATTGTCATTACAATTTTTAATTGTAATGACAGTTTTTAGTTTTATTATGTTATTATAAAAACATGATTAAAACTATAACCATTAATTAACATAATTAGTTTTTGTCATGCTATGTTATTATAATATCTATTAATTTCTAATTGATTGGTAATGATATAAAACGTAAATTAATTTTGTAATTGATTATTATTATTTAAATTTTCTATAACTACTTATCTAAAAATGTCACCTCAAACTTAGCCAATTGATGACTTTTTTAAGAAGCTGCACATATCCCTGACCGCCACATGATCGAGCCACAACATTTGAAATTTCAAATAACAAAGGAAAAGAAGTTGTGCCTGACAATTTATTTTCAAATACTAAACTGACAGTAATTTCACTGATATCCAGTAACACAGGTAAAGCTTTATCTACTGATTGACTAAAGAAATATATATATATATATATATATATATATATATATATATATATATATATATATATATATATATATATATATATATATATATATAAATATATATATATATATATATATATATATATATATATATATATATATATATATATATATATATATATATATATATATATATATATATATATATATATATATATATATATATATATATATATATATATAATATTGCACTTTTATTAGAAAAAAAAATATTGTAAAGGTTTGTTGATACAGAAAAATGTTTTTTTCATTGGTAAATACAAAAAAAAAAATTTATATTAATCTTATAATTTATTATGTTATTTAAAAAAAAATTAAACTATAAGAGCCAAAAACTCAGAATAAAAAAGAAATGATTTCAAAGTTTAAAAACAAATTTACTTGCATGCTAATATTATTCATGCATGGGTCTTTTCTTTTAAGTCAAGAAACTCAAATTTTAAATGTAAAACTTTTATTGTAATATATATCTTGTAAATTATGGGTCACATGCATTTGTGCTTCTTTGTATGTTTGAAAACACATAACGGTCACAAAAAAACATAACAAAAACAGGTCATGTGTCTTTGTACGCTTTTTAAACTTTTTTTTTTTAAAGAGTTTTAAAGTTGTTGTTAAAATAATTAAAATAATATTTATTTATTTATTTTTTTTTAATTATTCCCAAAGGCCCGAGGGGGCCACTACAGTTGAGGAGGCTACTCATTTTTTTTTTTTTTTTTTTTTTTGTTGTAAATCGTGGTACAACCCTCTCTCAACTCTTTAACTCCAAAACACGAACCTTGACAAGCAAGACCGCTGCGTGGAGAAATTAAGTTGAGCGTGGTACTTCCAGGGACGTGGTGGGAGTTGAACTCTGAACCGCTCGCTTACAAAGCGAGTGCTCTTACCACTACACCACTAACGCATTGAGTTTGAACTCTGATTTGAATCACTATGTGATGCTCCTTACACTTGCACTTGGTACCATTAATAAGTCCTACCAAAATTAACTTATGAAAAGTAATATAAAAAGTTTTATTTTATCTTCAGCCTCTAAAGATATTGAGTTAATAAACCAAAAGCTAATAAAAAAAATATTCAAAATGCAAAATGTTTAGACCTGTTCTGAACTGCAATATTAATAAAAGATTGCAACAAAATACATCCTTCAACTGAAGTAGAAACTCTTTTCATCCAATTATACAATACTTCATAATCTTCATCGAATATTTTAAAAAGAACTCTGTGAATACCATCATCTAACTTTTCTTCTAAAAAAATATAAAAAAATATAAAAAAATTATATATATATATATATATATATATATATAAATACATATATATATAAATACATATATATATATATATATATATATATATATATATATATATATATATATATATATATATATACATATATGTGTGTGTGTGTATACAATTAGTATTGTGTACTAAGGTAAGCAATCTGACGTCATACTGAAATAGCCTGCTGCTGGGGGCTTCAGTACATTCATCGACTGACAAATAGCCTGACTCGCAGTGGAGTGCGAGTCAGGCTATTTGTCAGTCGCTGAGAAAAAAGTTGATATATATATATATATATATATATATATATATATATATATATATATATATATATATATATATATATATATATATATATATATATATATATATATATATTGACAATCAGGGGTGATGTTAAACAAAAACAGGTAGCTGTGGGGGTTTCAGTACATACATAAACTTATCTTATAGCCTGTTGCCAGTAGGAATGCTTCTAAATCGACTGAAGGCTTGGCATGGAAGAGCAATTTTTACGAAGTAAAAATTACTCTTCCATGCCAAACCAATTTTTATGAAGTTTTACCTCATTGTTATTTGTTTTTTTTTCTTTTTTTTTATGAAAAATTTATAGCGCAAGTTTTTACCAACATTTTTGCTGACCTAAATCCATAGATTTATTTTGCAAAAAAAAAATATTGAAGATTGAAAAATTTTTTTCTGTCACAACCTAAGCCCTCAGTAGCAGCAACTTGCATGTTCTCCCCATATCAGTTGATGTATGCACTGAATCCCTCACAGTTCCCTTAATCAGTAATGCCAGATTGCTGATCAAATTGTACTTTCATGTGTGTGTGTTATTATTTATATATATTATATATATATATATATATATATATATATATATATATATATATATATATATATATATATATATATATATATATATATATATATATATATATATATATATATATATATATATATATATATATATATATATATATATAATATATTATATTGTATGATATTTTGTATTTGCAATAAAATACAAAAAACTCTTGCACGTATAAGAGTGCTCAATAATAAATAAATAGGATATATTTATATTATTTAATAGAGCATTATATTAATTTATAAAAATAAAGAAAACAACTTTTTATGGTACTAATAGTTTCATGCCTAAAGGCAATCATCAGCCATGTAATACAAAACAAGAAACAAAAAAAAACGTTAAAATATAAAGTTACAGTGGAGTGTGCTCCGTCGTCAAAACAACACAAAAACAAAAAGATAAGAAAAAACTAAAAACGGCTGCCTAATCACCCGTATCGAAATTCGAAAGGAGGAATTTGCTTTTATGTCTACATTTAGATACTAATTCATTCCTCTTATTTAATAAGTTATCATAGGTGTACGATATTATGAAATACTTTTCGTATAGACATAAGTTGCATCTTTTTATTGTATGATTGTAAGATCTACAACGTTTTAAAATTTTCCATTTAATTGTCGGGTTTACTTCATTTTCTTTTAACTTCCATATTTCCTTAGACAACTCAGTATCGTTTTTATATTTTTCGATGTTAAAAGATTTTGTATGATTAGCGTATCTAAGTTTAAAAGCAGTTTCACTTACTCCAAAATACACTTTTTCATTCCCGTCTGGAGTGCCTGGATATAGAGTGGCTTGATACACTATGTTATTAATGAGGCACTGTTGATTTAAAGGGCACTTGCTTTTAGTAATACAATTGCAACTTTTATCTGATTCTGGGGGGATGTTTTTCATAATATGACGGTTATGAAAGTTAACGATTGATTTAATGTTTGGCATACAACTGTAACTCACCTTTAGAGTATTTCTATTAAAAATCTTGTGGTATTTATGGCCAACTGGAAAGTGCTTGTCAATTAAATCCAAAAAGATTTTACCAATTTTAGTAGAAACATTTTTACTATATGGGGGGTTAAACCAGATAATATTGCGCTTACGGTTTTTTGGTAGAGGTTAAATGAGTTTCGGAATATAATTAAGTTTAAATTTGTAACCAGACTTTTTTAATGCATCCTGATATAAATGAGCAGAGCTTCGAAAGCTAGTGTCATTAGAAGAATTAGCTGACAACCTTAATTCTATAGAACGAGGAAGTTGCTTTATTATGCTAGGAGGGTGATTGGAATCAACATGTATATAATTTAGTTCATTGATTGGTTTACAAAATGGTCTAAAAGATTGATCATTGAGGTTAAGTGTTACATCAAGGAAGCTCACAACTTTCATGTTACATTGTATAGAGATAGAAAGATTGTTATTTTTAAAAATTTGAATAATATGTTTTTTTATTGTGTCCATAAGGCGGCCACATATATATATATATATATATATATATATATATATATATATATATATATATATATATATATATATATATATATATATATATATATATATATATATATATATATATATATATATATATATATATATATATATATATATATATATATATATATATATATATATATATATATATATATATATATATATATATATATATATATATATGTATATATATATGTATATATATATATATATATATACATATATTTATATATATATATATATATATATATATATATATATATATATATATATATATATATACATATATATATATATATATATATTTATATATATATATATATATATATATATATATATATATATATATATGCGGTACTGGAAAAATTATGGATTTTTGGAATAGTCACTAAATTCCATTAATTGAGGCAGCCTTCAGTGGTCAATGATATTCTTTTGTTTTAATGACATACATATATAGTATTTGGACTATTATATTATCACATAAAATCCATTTAGATTTTTTAATTTTAGGGTCTTTTAAGGACTAGACAAGAATAGTTGCATAAATTCAGAAATATTTTAGTTAGAGTTTGCGTTTTTTTACTCTCTGTGGTGTACGGTGTACTTGGTATGTACTTGGCACACCTCTCCACAACAGTGTTGATGTTTCAAAAAAGTGCACACGCCTAAGTTAAGTTTTTCTGGCAGGGTGTGATTATGGTGATTGCAAAATAGTATTTCACAAAATTTGAAAAGTGTGTCCTGAAAAAAAATGGTGCTTATTGTGATATAAAAAAAGTGTGTTTTTCTCTCATTAACATATACAGAAAAACAACAGGTTTAGAATGCAGTTTGTAGAAAAACTTATTTAAGGCAAAGACTAGTAGCTAATAAGTTAACTCTTTAATAAATACCATTTTTTTAAATAACATATATTATATTTCAGATCAATAAATTAAAGATTCCTATCAAAATCAATAATAAAATATTTTAGTTTGAACATTTTGTTAGCTGATATAGACTGAACATAATAAAGCCTTAAATTCTCTCCGCGTTGTATGAAAGTACAACACGTAATAGATCGTTTTTGTATGTTTCTTTGTGAAAATCACTTGGAAGTTTGTATCTGGAAAACTCACTGAATCTCGAGTGAATAGTTTCTCCTGCCTGTTCGCTGTAAATTCCCAGTTCGTATCCATTATTCTGCAAAACTCCTTTACATGGCAAAATAATAGATGGAGTTTTGTTCTCTTTGTTTTGATCTCCAAAGTAATAAAAATATCAAAAAAATCATCTATTGCTTTTTCAAAATCATACTGAGTATCTTGCTAAAACACGAGTAAGCCACAGTATCAAAAGCATCAAAGGCATCACAAAATTTCCTAAGATCTTCAGGAAGAGCATCTCTAAGCATATTTGTTAATCTCATCAATTTCTTACACTGGTTTCCTTCAAACTCTCACCCGTGAAGTTTTTGTCTGACAAGGCAATTCCTTTCTAAGAAGATTTCTCAATTTTCTTGTCCCCATCTTGTTGATTTTCTTGTCCCCATCTTGTTGAAGTTATTCCACAGTAGATTAATTGTTCCTGTATAGAGATGAAGTTCGGGTATATTGCATACTTCCATAACTTCAGTTTCATCATCTCCTGGCAGAAGTGGTTGATTCTTGCAAGTATAAATTTCTTTCAGTGATGAGTCAGAACTACATCCTTGTTTCAAAGCAAGATTTTGCTCTCTAATTGATTCAAAGGTTCATTTATTTCCTCTAAGTAAAGCCAATCTACACAATCTGTACTATTATTACAGAAGCAACAAGGATACTTTGAACTATGAATTTGAAGTCCTAAAATTAAGTTAAGTAGTTTCAAATCAGCACAAATTTTAAACTGAATATTTCTAAATTCAATATTTTCGAAAAAGACAGCACAGTTTTCACAATTCTCCTGAATATTTGGGACTATTCCTATGAGTTATGTCTGATCAACGGACGTTTCTTCTTTCAGGTTCAGACAAATGCCCTCGGAATAGTTTGATCTCTTGGTGATATCATCACTAAAATAACTTGCCACATCAATACTACCAATTCCAAGCTTAAAGAAACCTCCACCACCATCAATAAATACTTTCACCTTAACATTAAAAGCGTCTTGTTTTCTTTTTTCAATCATTTTCCAGGTGAGTTCTTCCACATCTTTAACAAGAACAACAGATCACACAACTAAAGTTTCTGTTTCCGAATTATAGAAATCAAGGTCAACTGCAAGGAAGTATTCTACTAAAGAACCATTGTTATATACATTGACTTTTTAAATCCAGCTTCTATTGATTTTAAACCGTGCTTAACCCGAACTGCTTTTGATATTGCATCCATATCAGAACCAGACAACTTTCTATCAACCTTAATGGTCATCAAATCTTTGTGACTCCATTTTGCAGTAGGCTTTATTGATCTTTTTGAAACTGTAAACGATCGCCCTTCTGTTTTAAGAAATGCAATTTCTGATTCTTCAAACTTTTCTCTAATTTGATCTGCAGCTTATTTTTCTCCTGCTTCTTGATTAAAGAAGTTTTCAATCACCTGATGAAGGTTTGTTGAACCAAAAACTTTTGTACAATTA